GCAACTGGCAGTGTGTTCTTAAAAAATTAAAAAAAAAAAAAAACCTGTTTTTTAGGATAATGACACCAGTCGCACGATAATCAGGAGGTTTCCTTATCTAATGCAATGGCATTTCTTTGGCAATCGCGCGATCTGTTTCGCCCATGTATTTGACTCAGGTAGCATGGTCAAACCTGCTTCACTCTATAAATTAATCCATCAATCAATCACACATAACTAGGTAGAGTAGTACGGTGTCTCCAGCTGTAACTGACAGATGGAGGAGGCTATTCAGCTGATGGCGGCGGCAGCGGCGGAGATGAGAGCGGAAGCTATCCGCCTTAGAGAAGAAGTGGCGGAAATGGAAGCCGCTGTTGAAGACAAGACGAATGAGGTGGAATTTGAGAAGAGGAGACGCAATCAACTCCTCACTGAACTGCTGCTTCTGGTAGCGGCAGAGCAGGTCCTACTGCAGATTCTGTTCCCGCCCCAAGTATAAAACCACGAGGTCGAATTCAGATATGCTTTTATGTTTATGTTTGCTTGAATTAAAGGCACTTCTGTTTGCCTTTTTTTCTTTAATTAGGAAATAAATTAAGAAAAATTGTCATGGATAAGACAACATTATCCTTGTGTCAGCAAATTCTGTTATGTTAATATGTCGTAATCAAGATTGGAAATAATAACCACATCCAATACTGTTTAATGCTACAATTTTTAATTTGTTGTGATTTTTTTGTCCTTTTTTTTAGTGTTATTTTATTAAATTAATGAAATGAATTAAGGAATGAAACAGTTTGGAAAGACGAACTATTTATCTTCTTTATTCTGAAAAGCCATGCTTGCTACTTTCCCTAAATTTAAAAAGAAAAATGAAATACTTTTTGAGGGATAAAACAGTTAAGATAGAATAAAAATTATGACACGTACAATTTTGATGTGACAATAAGCCACCAGCATACCCCCCTTGGTAGAAAATGAAGAAAATGACAAAAAGGGAATAACCCCCAAGATGTAGCCCTTTCATGAACAAAGTTTAAAGTTAGGTTAAACCCCATTTTGGTCCCTCAACTATTGTACGGACCCCCGAATTAGTCCCTCAACTCAAAAAATCCCTGATTTAATCCCTACTGTTTACCATTTTTACCCCGATTTGGTCCCTCCGTTAAAAATCTGCTTACATGTCCATTAGTTGACAAAAAATGATGACATGTAAAAATATTTTGACATGTAGGATTGACAACGTGGCAAAAAAACTTGACACGTAATTTTCAATAAAAATT